CGCCATGCATGATATAGTCTATTTGGGCGTTGGGTTCATCTAGATTGTCTAACGAATACAAACGGCTCTGCGCTTGTGTGACAGCCATATTTGCAAAGGCAGTTGAATGGGTGATGTGGATGGGTAGGATCGCGAGGGATACAATGAGTGGTCGCACGCGTGTCTTGGGATCGGTGATGCAACAGTATACCGTCTCTGATTGGCTGACAAGATTGCGGACCTGCGCACGCCCTTTGGTGATGGAGACGTTACATCCTGTGCCCATATCTGCAACTTGAGGAAGTTAGAACGAGAATGAAATGACTATGAACGAAGTGAGTACAAATAGGAAACCCTAGTTGGGTTGTACCCCCTATGGGATACCCCACTATAGCCTACACAAATAAGCAAGCTATAATATTCTGACACACCCCCATAGGCAAAGTGGGGGAGAACAAGGGGTCACAAGACCAGTCAAGCAAAGCAAAACAAAGCTCAGGGTGGATCACAAAGTCACCACACATTCCGAGCACAAGTTCAAGGGCCACAAGGCCAGTTCACATGCAAGAGCATATATAGAGATATACAAGAGTCAAGCAAGCAAGAACAAGAGTATATATAGGTCAAGGTACAAGCAAGGTCAAGAAGTGAGCAAGTGAGCCAAGACAGGCACAAGACCCAGCTGCGTGCAGCAACGCTGATGATCACAAGGCGCAAGTGCCTTGGTGAAGACATCAGCAGTGTTGGCCTCAGAGGCCACGTACGCAAGTCGCAACTGTCCACGCTGCTGTAGCTCACGGGTCTGAAAGTAGCGGAGAGCAATGTGCTTTGTCCTGTGCTCCAGTCGCTGCTCTCGACACAAGGCCAGCATGGCCTTGTTGTCTACGTACAGGACTGGAGGAGAACGAGGCGGCTCTCCAAGGTCGGTCAGCAGGTAGGTGAGCCAGCGAAGCTCCTGAGCAGCCATAGCCCCGGCGTAGATCTCAGCCTCACAACTGGAGCCAAGAACAGAAGACGAGCGGGTAGCCCGCCACGAAACAGAGCCGGAACCAAGGCTGAAGGTGTAACCCTATGACGACCGCTGCGTAGCCTGGTCGTCAGCCCAAGAAGCGTCCGCGTGCCCAGTGAGTACCACTGGACTGCGCCCTCCAAGCACTAGCCCCATGCCCGACGTACTGCACAAGTAGCGCAACACCCTCTTCGCTGCAGCCATGTGCTCTGGTCGGTGTCTCCCAGGAGCAACATAGCGTGCGAGAATGCTAAGAGGGTATGCAAGGTCAGGTCGTGTGCAGGTCATCAGGTACATGAGGCAGCCAACAAGCTCTGCATACGGACCACTCGACTCTACGGACTCATCCGAAGGCAGAGCTGAGAGCGAGTGGCGAGTAGGCAGAGGAGTGGCCTGAGGCGAGGAGTACGTGAAGCCGAAGCGCTGAAGGACCTGCTGCACCATGTGTGACTGAGTCAAGGTAATGGTGCGGCGTGCTCTGTCCCGGGTGATCTGCAAGCCAAGGTAGCTGCGCAGTTCACCCAGGTCAGTGCACGTGTGTCTCTTCTGCAACTCGGACTTCACGTAGGCGAGTCCAGCAGTGTCAGCTGTGGCAAAGACCAAGTCGTCGACGTACACGAGGATGTAGAACGGCGGCAGAGAAGTGTCGGTGCGCAGAAACAGCGACGGGTCGGCAGTAGAAGGAGCAAACCCAAGAGCCGCAAGCGTAGTCCTCAGTGTGTCGTGCCACTCACGTGGCGCCTGGCGGAGACCGTAGACTGGACGCCGGAGACTCCACTGGGTACCAGGAGGGAAAGACCCAGTGAAGCCAGGTGGGCGACGCAGCCAGATCTCCTCGTGCAGGCTGCCCTGCAAGAAAGCAGTGTTGAAGTCGAGAGAGTGCAGCTCGTAGTCACGGTGAGCAGCAACGTGCAGCAGTACCCGAAGAGTGGTCATCTTCGGGGTAGGAGAGAAGGTCTGAAAGTAGTCAACTCCCTGCTTTTGGCGCATGTTCACCATCACGGAGTTTCCATGTTCTCTGATGTGACTCGCATGTGTTGCTTGAACATTGCGCTCAGGTGTGGCTAGTGCGGCCGGTGGTGCATCGCAAGTCTCGCCGAATGCGGCGGTCGCGTCTAGCGTCGGTGCGGGCGATGAGGATGTGGGTAGCGATGGCGAAGGGGAGGCTGCGCCTGTCCGATCCAAGGCTGTTGCCTCCGTTATGGCTGAAGAGCCTAGCGCGGCAAAAGGAAAGGCTGCGGCGTCTCCGCCTAAACTGGTGGCTGACAACCCCTTTGAGGCAATGCCCTGCGCATCTGCGCAACCAGCAAGTGGATCTCGTCGGGATGAGACGGTTGCCGATGACGCCGTCGTGATGAGCCGCGCCGAGCTCGAGGCGCTGAAGACGGCGAGAGACGAGGGCGAGCGTCGGATTGCGCGGCTGGAGGCGCTGCTGCTGGCCATAAACGAGAGGGAAACGCAGAACAAGAGGCCGAGGAGTCTGAGGGAGAAACGGGCGCAAGGAGATGCGCAGCCGCGCAAGCGCAGGCGGGTCGAATCGGGCTCGGAGGACGCGACATCGGAGGAGGGAGAGGAAGAAGATGCAGAGGCGGAGCTAGTGAGGGCACGCCGTGTGGTCCGGCGGCGCCACATGACAGTGTCGAGCTCACCCATACTTCAGGAGGCATTTGATTTCCTGCCGTCCGGCAAAGCATGGAAGGTGAGCGCCCTAGGACATGGGGACACATACTCAAAAATATGCATTGCGGGTGGTCTAATGTCTGCCGCGCTGCTGTTTGTGCGTTCTTTCCCACTTGGAAACCTTGGTGTGTGCTGTGTCGTAGACATGGCAGAGAAAGTGCGACCATGTGCGGGAGTTCCTGTTCATCGAGCGGGCCAATGATGTCATGACCTTTTACCCAAGCAGCCACGACAAGACGCTCGGATTATGCTGGGTCACACCACGATTGACGATGAATTATGCGGGGCTCGCACTGGCGGCCGACAAGGCGCGATGCACTGACCTGAACAAGGCACTCAGCCAGTGGAAGACAGAGGTGACAGGCCGCGTTCGAGACATTGCGCTGCCGCGCATTGGCCTATGGCGCAACGAGCGAGACAGGAAAAGCCCGTGGGCATGCAAGAAGCGCAGAGAGGCGGCCGAAGTTCATATTCGGTATCGCGTGCTGGACGACGTGAACGGTATGCGGCGGGGTGTCACCATCCAGGGTTCGTGTGTGTAGATCAGCTGACGGTGTGTTACGTTGTACATGTGTGCGGGCAGAAGATCTGACGTTGTCAACCTGGAGCGAGAGCAGGACTGGAATGATCTTTGCGTCGGGAGCGTTTACGGCGTGTGCCGTGACCGCCTTCCAGCCCAAGAAGGTCACGGGAGCGGTGACCGTGAAACTGTACCAGATGGCGTGGCTCGAGCATGTGGTGAGTTGCATCTCAATCCCCGTTCAGCCCACCCGTGCGCGGGAGTGATGTGTGTGTGCGATATGTTTGTTGTTTCACGTAGGTTACCGACACGGTTCTTAACTGGGACAAGCGCAAGGCCCGCCTATCAAACTCTGCTGGTGGCAACGCGGAGGTGGTGAACGGCCTCCACCAGGTCGCGGAGGGGGCAGTGGCGCACGCGATCCAAGACTTCAAGCCCAAGTACGATGCTGATGCCCAGGCGTGGGTATGGGGGGAGCACGGGCTGATGCTGTCCTCGTGCGGGCTAGAGCACTTGATTCCAGGCCGTTACGCGCAGAGGGCGCCAATCGTGGAAGATGGTGGATCGGTTTCTCTGGGCACTGACTGAAGTTGGTAGTGAGGCGTCCCTAAACCCTGTACATGGTCATGGGCTTCCACTCTTTGTATTTCAATTATGTTAGAAGGATATACGTTGTTAGCGTTCGACGAGGTGGAGATGTAGTAAGACGGCGTTGGGCGGTAGTGTATGGACATAATTGGCGACGGTGTGTTGTGTAGCAACCCGGGTGTGATGTGTGCGATGTTCTGGTGTGTTGCGGCATTGAATAAATCTCTTGTAAGCGCGCATAATTGTGTGGCATAACGTGGTGTGCTATACGCGCGGAAGCAGCGCGTAAAGCTACCAATAACGCGCACAATTCGGCAGTAAACGGATACCTTGCCGCGTCGCGATCGGGCGGTGGTACGTCGGCGCGCAGCGGTGGGATCGACGGTTGGTATCCATGGCGCGAATACCGCCGTCTAGTTGAGATGAAGCCAGGATGCATGCGTGACGCGTGTGTGCAAAGTGGCACATTGGGTGTACGAGGCGTGGGTAACCTTGCGGCAAAGTATCCGGCAGTGTTCGGAGTGCGCGCTGATTGGGTGGCGTGTGAGGAGGGTGCGGAAAACAGTGGGGTTGCGATGGAGCGAAATACGCGTGCGACGGCGGTTGGAGCCAGTCCCGGCATCCAGTGATGTCACTGCGTTACGCTCTACCGCGACTTGATTGGATCTGGAGGTGGTGTGCGGAACAAGCGGCCCAACAGTGTGCTCCGTGACGCGCACGGTAGTGTTCGATGTCGTGCAGGGATTGGGCGTTGTCAGGTTCGCGAATGCGCGCTAGTGGTGCACGAAGGTGTCCGCGTATGCATTAAAGTGGTGGACGAAGCAGGGTTACCATGCCGTGTGCCAGTAGATAGCACACACGTGCTGGAGCCTGGTTGGTGTACGTTTCATGGCCTACAGCGTACGGGATCAGATCCGAGTACGGTTCTCGTTGCCACGGTGGCGAAGTGTTATAACTGATCGGTGGCAACATGGAGGTGATCTTTCGGCAACATGCACGCAACTGCACGGCAGGCTGTTAGTGACTTGAAGTTGGGCGGAATGTTGCGGAATTGTGGCTGCAGGTTTGCAGGATTGTTGCAAGAGAGTTGCGGAAAAGTTGCGGAAGGGCAACTTTTTTGCAAGAACTTCCCAATCCGCATTTCTGCAACATTTGACCAAAACTGGAAAGTTGCAAAACCAAGGTATCCAAAAAGTATCCTTTTTGCAACATTCCCGCAGCTTTATGGCAAGCCCCTTTTTCGCGATGATTGCCTGGAGATTATACTCCGCACTCACTCACGCTGTCATTGCCTCCCGCACTGGGTGGGCACGCGGTGCTGCTGCCCCACGCGCTGCAGTGCGGCACGAAGCAGTGGGGCGAGCTGGGGAGGAGCGGTTAGCATCAAGAGGAACAACAAGTCGTGCTGTAACCGTTACATCTTCCTCCGGAGGTACCCCTGCATGCCACAATCTTGATTTTCTGAATCCAGGTGTCTTGATACCCCTGAGCATTTCTCACACCCCTTCTCTCCTGTGGCCGTGTGGTGATGGCAGGAAGTTCACAGACCGCTTTCAACAAAACTTCCTGCAAAAGCACCTGGGAGCTGCTGCACAACCCCAGAATATTACGTTCAACCGATACAGTCAGCCAGTGCTCTGCCAGGATGTAAAGCACCACCAGCAGCAGCAGCGCTCGGAGGGCGTGGGAGCAGCAGACCTGGCGTTCGGAGGGCTGTCGTATGAGGAGTGCGTGACGGCGTTCCTCGCCCCCCACGCTCGCTGCTGCCTCCCACCCGCCCCGCCCAACCTCTCATCCCTCGCCACCCCTCCTCCTGCTTCCCAAGCTCCTCCTGCTGTTTCCCAAGGCGCCACCTTCTCTGCTGTGGCTGATTGTACCTACGAGTTTCCCTTCGCCCAGGATGCTTTTCCCGTTGCTGCTTCCTCTAACACCGCTGCTCTGTGTCGGGCAGTGAAGCGACCAAGAGACGATTGCCCTGAGGTGGGGGCACAAAAACCGCTGCTGGGACGCGACAGCCAGTTGCTGCAAGGTGGGGTGGTGCGAGGCGGGACGGTGCGAGGAGGGATGGTGCAAGGTGGAATGGTGTGTGGCACGGAAAGCCGGCGTCAGTCGGTGGCAGAGCAGTTCCAGCATCAGGGGGCGAGCAGGCGCGAGCAGCCTTCCAGTGAAGCGAGCAAGAGAGGACTGCCCCGGGCATGAGGTAGACGAAGCGGGGCTAGTTGTAGGTGGAGGTGAGAGCGGGGTGGTGCGCAGCAGGAAGCGGCAGGCTCAGTAAGTGGCAGAGCAGTTCCAGCAGCAGGGGGCGAGCAGGCGCGTGCAGATCGAGGAAGCAGCCCTTCTAGATGCTCTGCTGCAAGAGGAGCATCGCCAGCTGGAGTGGGAGAGCGCCCTCCCAAATGATGTGCTGCTGGGGGTCAGCAGTCTCGATGCTGTGGGTTTCAGCAGCTTCGATGCGGTGGGGTTCACCACACCGTGTGCACCAGAACCAGCGCCGCTGCCCACCCCACTCGCTGCTGCACTGGCTACTTCCGTTCCTGTGCGGATGGGCAGCAGCACTGGAGGGACGCTCGTTGTGAGTAGTTGCACCCAACCAGAGCTGGACACGTGCAGCGTGGCGCATGATGATGTTGCTCTTTCTTCCGACATGCCCGTGGATCCCCTGTTGCTGTCTGGACACGCTCCCACCGTCCCCCTATTACCACACGGGCAGCTCGTCCGTGTGCCCTGAGCGAGTGGGTCCCAGGGACGGCTGCTGGCAGGCACAGGTGGTGGTGGGGCAGGTCTGGAAGAGTGGGCGTTGGAGCAGGGGGGGAGCACGGAGGGAGGTGCTCAAGCGCACGGGGATCATCGGCAGCTGCAGCCCTTGCCACAGCCTCTGCCACAGCCTCTGCCACATCCTCTGCCACAACCTCTGCCACAGCCTTTGCCACAGCCCCTGCCACAGCCCCTCCCACATCCACTGACACATCCACTAACACAGCCACTGACACAGCCACTGTTCCAGACGCCCTTGCTGTCAGCCCTTTCTCGCCAGCCAGGGACCCCTGGCTTCATCGGTGCACTGTACACGCCCTTGAACCCAAGGGGCTTGCACACGCACGCTCCCATTCAGCCCTGCCATGCCAAGCTGCCCTTGGCCGCCCGTGCTTTACCAGCTCTCAAGATCCTGGCGTTACCTCGGCTTGGCATGGCCAATGCTCTGGAAGGTGGTGGAGCTGCACTACATGCCACAGTAGGCCATGGGCTCAACTCGGATGTGCACGCCTTGGCTAAATTTGATGCGCTTGGAGGAACAACCGAGTTGAAGTTTGGAAATAATTGGAATGGGGCCACGATTGACCACATCAAGGAATTGCATGAATCCTTTGGTTCCCCAGGTACTGCCATGCTTGATAGTGGGATGTCTCCATCCCAAGATATACTTATCTAGAGTCTTTGGGGTCATTCTAACCAGGCTTCTGAGATTTCACCGAGCTTATTAGAAGCCATGATGCTCTGTTCATCACACACAAACCTGGAGCTCAAATGAGAGTTTGTTGGACTTTGTTTTGTATATTTTCAAGTGTAACACCTGTTAATGTCCGCGTCACATCCTCGATTTTAGCCTCCCATTTTAGTAACTGTCGAGCAAAGAAATTGTCGAGCGGAGGCAAGGACTTGCTGCTCGACCCACTCGCAGAACCTGGAAGCACATGACCATGAACCTATCCACTCGAGTCGCTCACCGTCCGTGAGGCTCTGACGGCTCCAATCTAACGGTCCTCTTGAATCCTTATCCATAGCATCAATGTTCCTCAGCTCTGCGTTTCACAGCGTCGGCTCTCACTCGCTCTGCATCATGAATTTCTCGTCCTCATCTGGATCCATACTAGCCGTTTCAGCTCGCTGCGAAGGACATGGCAGCCATTCCATCCCGTTCGTCATAACCACGCGTGACCAAGTACTGGCAGCAGGATCGCGTCAGCTCGGATGTGTCAATCAGGGCGCGTGCCGTTCACCCCAGCTTTCACCAAGTCGGATGAATGAACTCTCGAGGCGAAGGTTTGCAGCCCGCTGCTCCGCATGGTTGCGGACGGACTCTCGTGAAAGTTGAGGTTCATTAGTCGGACCCGGCCATCGGGTCTGTTCATCGCCGCGGTCCGGTGAGTATGTCGTATGTCGGAGGAAGGATAGGAGCCACCGGGGATGTAGTGCCTGCGACCCTACACAAGGGTTCAACAGGTCACCGCTGCGCCTCTGAACAACCCCCATGTTGGCTCAGTGGTCTAGCAACGCGTTCTAGCAGCAGTACTAGGGTTCGTACCACCATCTTCTCATCGGCCGTGCGTTCTGCGTCCACTCCGTTCTTGCTCTTCAATCTTACGTTCCATTCGGAACTTGCCAGGCTTTGGGGCATAGCCTTCGTGTGAAGAGATTCGGGTTGAAGGATGAGCTGCCGTGTCTTGCAAGGCAATGACCTTATAGCAAGCATGCGATTCGCTTCTCGCGTGACTCCGTATTAATCGAGGTGACTTTTGAGTCGACTCAAAGGTCACCTCATGGCAGGCATGAGATTCGCTCCTCGTGTGACTCCGTTCCAATTGGCCGCTCTTACGTTTGCTGGGTTGTCGTTTGATGAGTGTTTGTCTCACCCAAGTTGAGGGTGAGTGGCTTGGGGTGGGATGGGATAGGAGATTTGAAATGGAGAGGAATAGGTAGGGGTGGGATGGGGTGGTATGCGATAATTTGTCGGAGCTAGTGCTGCTGTGTCCGATGCCACTGCTGCCTTGTGCAAAGGTGGTCAGGGGAGTGACCTGCCCTGGCCCTGCTGACGTGATGAGGACAGAACCGCTGTGCACCAGCTCTGCTGCTCCCAGCCGACGAAACAAGCGACCTAGGGAGGGCTGCACTGGCCTTGCCATGGAACCGCGGGTCAGAGGCTGCACAATGCAGCGCCCACGTTCACAATCACTAGATAGTAGTGGCTGTGCACAGCAGCGGAAGAGGTGCCGAGGGCACCCGGCATTGTCTCTGCCTGTTGGGTCAGAGATTGCCCTGTCAGACGATGTGCACCGGGGATTATGGTGACTGCGCTGGTGGCATGAGCGCACACTGCCACTGCCACTGCCTCTTCCCTCGCAACTCCCTGCTCTGGCTGGCTCGTTCCCCAGGGGAATCAGCAGGTGCATTTGGAGGTGCATTAAAGGACCTTGGCTGACACGAAGTCCCCTAACATGCAAGCACCAGTTGAGCCCAATGCATCACTGTGGCATAGAAAGAGAGCTGCGTGCTGCTCTCTTGCTCCTCACACGCCCGTCTCTCCCCTCTGCCTGCCTGGGTCTGCCTCCCACCTGTCATGCGCTGCGGCACTGTGTGCTCCTGCCGCCTGCCTGCCCCTGGGGCATCGCTTTGGGCAGGGAATGAAAGCACTGTGAAAGGGTTTACTTACTGGCGCACGGGAAACAAACGATACGGCTTACAGATAATACAGGCTTGCGAGATGCACCAGCAAGAAAAACATAACATGATTTGATCACAACCGATAGACTCGATCAAGTCTGTCGTTTGTTTGTTTTTATGGGCTACATGTCCTGCCCAATTCTATGTAGCATAAGCTTGTGATACTTGCTTTAAATGTACACCCTCTTTCTCTGGAGGAGCTGGGCCTGAAGGTTCTTATTTTTCGTTCCGTCAGAATCGTCCTGCCAGACCTAACGAAGCTGCTCGTTTCTGCGTGGGTGACATCACATCAGGCTTTCAAAAATTCAAAAGATGCCTTTTCACTTCCATTTCCTTTCCGTGCCCGTGACCATCGTGGTGCCCGTTAAATAGGGCCAAGAATCCGTCATATCCAGAATCACTAATGCCGAATATCCCGAAGGTGCAGAGCTTACATGTGACCCCTTTGGAGACCATGCAACCTGACGACGTGAGAATCTCGTGTTCATTCCGACAAGGCATGACGTGAGCCGTCTTTACATTCTGAACAACTATGTTTGTATGGTCGCTCACAGTCGATGAGAGCATTGCGGTGCATATCGTGAGGTATGCCCTTGGGCGATCAGTACCCCGCGTTCGAACCTTGGCATGATGTTCCGCTTATTGTATCGTTGTGTTATCATGGCTTTGAAGCTCACTGGTGGAGAGACGGAGCTTGGTACAATGGTGGTACAATGGCTGCAGCAGCTGCCTTGCTGAAGTTCACTGCCACCCCAAAGCACACTCAATGAGTTTACAGGTGAACATCCCCTTCCAATCTTCCCTTTTCCACAGCCCCCTTGCTTTGCTCCTCCACCTCGCTTCATCCCTCCTTTCTAACTCCTTCATCCCCCCTCCTTTTTCCCTCCTCTTCATCCCCCTTCGTGTCTTCCCCCATTCCCGTTGTCCCCCTGTCCTTCCGACATCTTTCTGGTCGTGAGCATAGCAGCATGGCGGAGTTGGTCACAAGACGCAGCTGCTGCGGGTGCTGGAAGGGGTGGACGGAAAAAAGAGTCGGCTGCAGTGGAGATGCGCGGGAAAGAAGGGCGAGTAGCATTGGAAGGTAGGGATAGCTAAGAGCAGTGGGGGATAGATGGGAGGATCTGAGAGCATCGAGGAAGAAAGGGGAGCTGGGAGCAGTGAGGGGAAGGAGGGGGAGCTGGGAGCAGTGAGGAAGCTGAGGGAGCTGGGAGCATTGGGAAGGAGGTGCGTTGGAGTCAGATGTTAAGTGACGAGGTGAGGGTGGGTGGCGTGGGGTGAGATGCATAATTTGGGACAGAGATGAGTATTACAGAGTGGATGCATGGAGCAGGCTGGGATTGCTGGGTTTGTGTTGGGATGGGAAGGCCAAGAAGCATAGCGGGTTGTTGGGCACGTAAGCATCTCTTGTGACTTAGTATCCCATTTCCCTGAACCTGGACTGGATGCAGGGAAAGGAGCTCAATCACCTGACCATTATATGTAGTGGGTTCGTACAAATGTGGTTAGCCAACTTTTCGTGAATGTTGAGATTGTTGTGATCGCGAAGGGTCATGGTGCCGTATTGTGGACGGCTGGGAATCTGTTGGGCTGAAAGCCCCTTTACATCAACCTCCGAGGGTTGACTCGCTGGTGCCTCGATATGCGATGCTTCGCTTGTGTCTTGGTGTTTCGACACGACAGAGGCGCTTAGGATTATTTGTTCCCAACACTCCCCTTCGCTTCTGGAGTGTCGCTGATGGTGACGTGGCTTTGTCCAGTCAGCAGCATGCAGTACTCGAACTTCTGTTTTCCGAGCATCTTGGTTAAGTAGTCAGCTGCCATCTCGGACGTAGGACAGTAGGTTACTTCAAGTTTCCCCTTCTCGATCTCGTCTTTCACGAAGAAATATCGAAGAGCGATATGCTTTGTTCTGTTCGCGAATCCGCTTTTGTTGGCAATGCGAATCGCAGATTGGTTGTCGCAGAACAGAGTGAAGTTGGGTAACTCGGCTAACTTTGCTTCTTCCAGCAGCTCGCGAAGATAGAGTCCTTCCTTGGTGGCTGAGCAGAGTGCAACATATTCTGCTTCAGCTGACGAGAGAGTGATTAGTTCTTGCTTGCTGGATTGCCAGGAGATCGGTCCGATAGGTTCGAGGCGGTAGATGTAGCCAGTGCGGGAGCGCCTATTGTCTGAGTCGCCAGCGAGATCAGCGTCGACATAGCCGATTAATTTCGTCGGTGTAGTTGTGTTCTTGTAGTATGTCAGACCGATCGTTGAGGTGCTGACGAAGAAGTGGAGAGCGCGGTCGAGCTCCGCCAGGTGTTCTGCTTCAGGTCTTTTGAGGTAGGTGGCGAGTTGACTTGCGGAGTAGGATAGATCTGGGCGGCAGGTGACGGCTGCGAAGAGAAGGCAGCCCAACTTTCTCTGGTAGTCGCGTATCCCGGCGGATTTGAGTAGAGAGGATCCTTCATTGTGGTTTCTTGTCGTGTAGCGGTAGGGCTTAGAGATGGTGGTAGGTGTGAGCACGAAGCATTTGGCGATGGTGTCGGCGTATTTAGCAGCGTTGAGGTAGATCGCGCCTTCTTCCTCCCGAATGTTTAGGCCGAGGTACTGTGTGACGGTAGAGGAGACCGTGAGTGTGAGGTCCCTCTATAGCTCCCCTTCGAACCAGGTGGTGATGTCGTCAGTAGAGCCGATGTAGAGTAAGTCGTCTACGTAGACGATCAGCAGAATGTAGTCGGTGTCTTTGGTGAGTAGGTACATCCCTTGGTCGTGAGGCAATTGGCGGAATCCGATGCGACTGAGGCGAGCGTGAAGGTACGGTTGCCATAGCCGCGGAGCTTGCTTGATCCGGTAGAGTGATTTTAGCAGATGACAGACTTGGTTAGGTTCCCCGTGGTACCGTGTGGGAGCTCGACAAATATTTCCGCGTCGACGGGTGCGTAGAGGAACGCGTTGGTGACATCGATTTGCCGTAGCTTCTTCTTCATAGCGGGGATCGTGAGGAGGATTCGAAGTGAGGTATGTCGGCTGACCGGGGCGAATGTCTCGGTGAAGTCCCGTCCGTGCTCCTGATCGAATCCACGCACAACCCAGCGTGCTTTGAATTTCTCAATTGTGCCGTCTGCTTTCGTTTTAATGCGGAAGACCCATTTCCCAATGAGAATGGTCTTGTTCCTTGCCACACCGATGGGTACAACTTTCCAGGTGTTCTGTTCCTCCAGCGCCTTTAACTCTTTGTCCGTGGCTTCACGCCATTTTTCCGTGTGTTCCCTCCCCAGAGCCTGCTGAACCGTCGCAGGCTCTTTAGGGAGAATGTTGCCGTGGACAACGGTGACGAGGCCGAGAATCTGCAGTCTAGTCTGTGAGTAGCGGGGAAGAGTTGCGTCCTCGGAATAAGCTGCTTCATCTCCCGCTTCTGGGTTGGGTATGAAATTCGACCCTATCCGTTCTGCTTCGTTGGCGTTGACTGTCGCAGGTGTTACGTAACCGTTGTCGGCGAAGTGGTAGAAGACTTCGGCGTTGGCGCTTTTGCGAGGGTCGTCCATGGGGACGTTGATAGAGCAGAACGGGAGAGGTCCGGCTTCTTCTGATGCGTTGTCCTCATTCTGCTCGTCCCAGTCTGCTTCGTCCGCTGCTGAGGCGAAGGCTCGGTCACCACGAAAGCCACCTGTGGGATCTTCATTTTCGTGCAAGTTGGCAAGGTACGTCT